TTGAAAATACGTAAAATTGAACCTTTGTTTGATCTTTTGTTAACTTTAACAAATGTTTTTCTCTTGTAACTGACTTTATCGAAAACAAAGGGATTTTTATGAACAGAGCCTACTTTCGTGATTTTTTTTTTTTCAAAGTTTTTTCAAATAAATTTTCAAAGATACAGTATTTTTCTAATTGTTTTTATACATATATCTACATTATTTGTTCATTCATTCATTCATCATAATGGGTGAATTTTCGAGAGCTGGCAATACAATATCAATTACCCATTTTTCCGTTCATTCTGTCGTTCGCACATATTCTGTCTTTGTTTAATTTAAGGTTTAATCGTAGATATGAGAGAGACAAATATAATAAATCTATTTATATTATATAGTATAAATATTATTTGCAAAGCTACGTCCTGATTTCGGAAAAGTGCTACGCTTTTTGGCGCGTCTGTTGTATGAAATTGCTTCTCTAGTTATTAAACTCATTGGACACTTTAATATCTTCTGTAGTAAGTTTTATTTAAAACATTTAAGTAATTCAATACAGAATTTATAATATGAATGTTTAAACTTACTTATTTGGCATCAAACAAAGGAAGACGATGAAACGGCGGTACAATTAAAACTTTCAAAGATTTACACTTTTACAAAAGTATTACAATCGGAGAACAGAAACCAATATTACTACTATTTTGACAACGATACATAGAAAGAAATTTAAATAGTTTTTTTTTTTCATTGAAAATGGAATAAAAGCCCAGTAGACAAGCCATGTGGACGAGAATGATTCTTCCTAAAATATTTTTACCTCTTTAAACTTGTCTGCCATCCTCATCAGTCCTTTTACGTCCCCATCGCAAGGGTTCAGGCCTTCCTTTTGGATGGTTAAGCTATATTAAACTAATATTAAAACAAACAACGTTACATTATAGGCAAACCAAAAACAAAAGTTGTTCGATTAAAATTGGATTTGAATACTTGAATTCGATTATAATCCGCCTGGATGTTTCGTTGTTATTGAGTGCTTAACCGATAATATTAAACTCCCCATTTTAAGTAAATAAACAATGAATTATAACAGAAAATAGATTATTTTGAGTAAATAAATAACAATAACAGCTTTAAGGTTTTATTTTAATATTTATTTGTAACAAATAAGACAAATACTGTACAGATATATTCATAAATAATATAGACTAAAAATATTTTCAAATGATTTCTCTTTTGTCTTTACGCCTAGTCTTAAGAGGTGTCCCAGAAATGGCTTGGTAATTTCCGTAAATTGTCCCTTTGCGTGACATATAATTTGAAGTTAACTTATTGAAAACATTTAACATAGGCACGTAGTTGTATTATTACATTTAAAAAGGGATTACTAGTAAAATAAATAGACAAACAGTAAATTTGATAACATAAAACAGTAAGCATGTCATAAGTATACATATTTTGCAAGTATAGCAAGTATAGCTTCAGCATAGGTTTCAGGCTAAATCCTACGCGGAGTGGACAGATTCTTTGACTACAACCTAGTCGGTTTTTATGACTACTTACATAACCTTATAATAATCCGTAACCAATGACCAAATTGTGCATGTTATACATGTTAATTATATTCATTGATTTACATACTCTATACTCTATTCATTATAGCATTAGACAGAAGTTAAATAAGGTTCTTTTTATGGTATACTTTGTGTGAAAATATTAATATTCATGTTACTTTTAAGACTGACGGCTAATTTGCTACATATCCACTTAAATACCAGCTGCTATACTTAACAGTTGTCGTTTAAGCTATCTGTTAAACAAAATTATGAGTATATAACAATCTTAAAAGATTTAATAACTTTTACAATAAAAAGTGTTCATCTTAAAGAACCTAGAGAGTCAGGGTTGTATAGTCTCTGCGCGATTCTCATGTCACTATAACTCTACCAAATTTAAAACGTTGCCTAACCCCTTCAAACGTTTCGGCAGTACAGCTTCTTAATTTTGTCAGACTATTATTTATTCATAATTGTTAAAATCGTAATTTGGGATTGACATCCATTTTGAATGCTACTGCCTTCCTTGTTGTTTTGCCGTTTTCCGTGATTAATTTGTTATTGTTTTATTTTTGTTGTTAAGTTTTGTTAAATATGGACGATGCCGGTGCAGGCCCGAGTGGCCTACAAAAATTACGCTCTAAGCCCCCATACCTACCTTTGACATTTCAGGAAGTTTTTCCAGTGTCTTCATCAATAGTCTAACTAATTACACTTACAATAAGAATTTATCAAAACAACAGACAGACAGTTTCAGTTTAAGTTCCATGTTGGCTTGGGAGTAAAAGATGAATTTATAAAATGCTGGCCTCATCTCAACCCCAAGGTATCGTAAAAAATGGAAAATTGCCCAACTCTTTCAGACTACCTAACGTTCAAAGTTTCAACAAAACTAATATATATTTTTTAAATTTATCTTGAAAATAAAATGTTCTGCACTGCTGCTTCTATGACCCTCTTTTTTCTAATGTTATAATGAATGGAGTATAGGCTAGTGATAAATAGTAACGCGTTGACTCGCGAAAGCGGTAATTACATAAATATCAAATCAATGCGTTTGCCTTACTACTAGCTATAGTAACTATCACCAATGATATTTACTGCCTTTACGAGAACTGATACTGAACTTTTTGTCATAAAAGAAATTTTTAGGAAGATTTTTTTTTTTAATTTAGAATTGTTTTAATTTTCCGTATCCAATATGATTTCAAATTTTGCGCAGTAGTTGCAATATTTTGCTGTATACACAGCGTTGGATATGTTGCCAACGGCTATCATTCCTTTCTCTAGCTGTATTCCGTTTGATCCCATTGCAATTGACCGTGAAATAAGTTTGTTCAATTCGATGACCAGGAAAATTTGAGGTAAGATGAAAACGTTGGTTACTATCATTATTGTCAATATTAGAGCGTATGATATTATACTTCTAGAGAAAATAGAAAGAAAAATAATACGTTGTTCGGATCACATAACACACATCTGTATTCTAGTCCATCCTATACAGAAACTTATAGGTACGTTAACAGATTGGTGTGATGGATATAAAGAACGAGTGCATTTTTTTTTATGGGATAGGGAGCAGACGAACATACGGATCACCTGATGGTATGTGCCCAAGTTAAAGTGGCAATTGGTTGGTATATGACCATGAGACACTCGGACGGACATTGCGGTCAAAAGGTAACATAGCGGCCATGAAAATCCAACAAGAGAGCAGTACGTGCGAAGGTGAGACGGTCCGACGATATTGTGCAAAAAGCCGGCAAATCTTGGATGAGTGAGGCAACCTGTTGATCACGCTGAAAGGGATTGATGGCGGCATAAATGTCATATGGCAATACTGGAAAAATAAATGCTGATGGAGAAGAAGAAATCTCCGTCATATTCTATTGAAGAGTACCAAAAGAAGACCTACATGAAAATGTAGCGACGAGATTCATACAAGACTCATCTGAAAATTTGAAACCGCGCACTGCTATTGGGGTTCGTTTATAAATCTGCACGAAAATAATCGCAATATATCTGAGCTGATTATTTTCCGCAGTGCAAGTGTAAATATTTATGTGTCCAGTCCATGTCATTTTCTTTTCTATACTTATTTAGTCTAAGATTAACATTATAAAGAGGTAAGATTTTATTATATGTTTGTTTGTTTGCCGATCTCATAAATTCTTTCATTTACGGGAAGCTACAACGTATGCGATGAACATAGACTATGCTTTATATAAACAGCAAATAAAAGGGTTGAAAATGGGAGTGGAAGTTGTTGAACTGAATAAATATGTTACCATAGCAACCATTGCTTACTATTCAATTTATCATTGTAATGTTCAATAAAAAGTATTTATTATTAATGATACCGATTAAAATATCTGACAGAAAAAAAAATTATAATATCTACTACTGGCTATCACTTTTATTTAAGATATCTGTATACATACATATACATTTAGTAAAAATATGTTATTTTTATATAACATACAGACACTTGTATTTTATTAATTTGTATAGTAATTTTTTCAATAAACCAGGAGATATTTTATTACACTTTACTGTCTGAAACTCGGGTTTAACTGTTTTCCCGCGACTTCGTCCGCGTTAATTACAGCCTATTTCAATCGCGTATGATGTACCTACAACTTTTCTTTTCACCTAAAAATAATTTTTAAAACCGATTAAATTCTTTCCGGAGCTTATTCGACGCAAGAAATCATATCTTTGGTTTTATTATATTAATATAGATTATTTTTATGAAAAACAACTTCATTTCTTATTTTATAATATATATTATTTAAACATACATGTGTAAGAAAATGTTGTAGCTTTTGTTTCGAAAAAGAAACCACCTTAAAGTTTTTCGTAGCTCTATTATCTCATTTAACGATCTAAACTAATCTAAAGAAACTATAAGATAACTTCTGTTTATATAAAAGTCTACGTGACCACTTAAACTAATATTAACTTTAGCCCAGTACTCTCAGCGGATGTGACTTCTACAAACGAACGAAGAGTTACTGAGATCAACCTGTGGCAATTTCCTTATTTGTTTATAGTTCTTTGATAGCTTTACTTGCAAACCTTACAATATTAGGGTCGGTACATATCTAAGGATTATCCTCGCGTACCATCGGTGATGGAACGTAGGAATTGACAATTGATGTTACCATCACCAGTCTATATATCCCCACTGCTGGGCCTGAAATTTAGCATAGACATGTAAGTCAATGACTAACAGTAAGTAAATAAGATGACAATGTAATATTATGGTGTCAGTAAGGTATGATGGAATCGAAAGGTCATAAGAATTAAAAATGAAATGACCCAGTTGCATCGTGTTCAGGCTTGTTAGATCCGATTTTATGAGGACTTTTGTACTGGATGCTTTCCAGACTTCTTGGTGTGGTAATGATGGAGCTGAAATATGGTCATAGGAACTTAGCTATAAAATAACGCAGCTGCATCGTGTTCAGGCTTGTTAGATCCGACTTTATGAGAACAACATATTGAGACAAAACTGCAAAAGTAAAAAATCAAAATACAATTTAAAAAAAGTTTTTTTTAACAAGATTTAATCAATATTTCCTATTATAGTAATTGACTTGAAAACTGCTCAAGTCAATTTTCCCTAATAATAATTGACTTGATAATTTTGATTATAAGTACTTTAAATGTTTAGAATTATTTAGTTACGTTATAGTGCGCAGAAGTAAAGGCTTGTTTTTAAAAAAATGTACATTATTTTTTTTACAATTGACATGTAAACAAATACGCATTAAAAATCTTTTCTCGTTGTAATATCAGTATATAGACCCTTCAAGACCACGAAAAAAAATGAAACTATAACATAAACTATTTACATGACATACTCTTTTATTTTAAATACATTTTCCACATTTTCCCGACTAAGAGTCGAACGCATCCGCGGTTTGTAAAAGATATCTTAAAACCGTCGTAATATCGTAGAAGAGCACCAGTTAATCAGTAAAATTAAGACAAAACTTTTAAGGCGGTGAATTAGTGTTAGAATAATATGTAACGTATGTGTTTTTACTACATAGAAACAATATAAAATACATAAAACTACATAAAAACACATACATTATATATTATATAACTACTACTAGTTTTAGCTGGTTTTAGTTCAACGTAAATATTCTATTCTATAACGAGGAGCGAAGACTAGAGAGTGAAATTTGAAGATATTTTTATCGTAGGGGAATGTATTATGCACTGTCAAGCGGCAGGGGGTGTGTGGGATTCTCTATCCGCATGGACCCACTTGAGACAAGCAAAAATCTTATTATACAGGCCGGAATCAAATCTCAGTGCAAAGTTAAACTTATACCATCTTATTAATAAAACGAGGACTAATATTAGTACCAGGTTTAAACTATTATCCGACCGAAATAAGTCAACACATCTCAGCTTGACGTTTTCTCTTCTGTCATTGATACTTTTCTTTAAATGGCAATTCCTTTAAAGTACTAACTTAAGTTCTCATTTTATAATAAGACGGATTGTAAGACTGTCAAGATCATATAATGTAAAGATTAGAAATTAACCTTGATATATTAATATATTTTACAAACTTTGTTACAGATAACAAAACATGGATGCGGATTTACGATGGATCCTAAATGAGAAACAAACGAACAGACACAAACACAAATGGAAGAGCATTGTAAAGTTAAAATTTTAAAACGCAAAGTTTCTCGTATAATGTGCCATGTCCTAATTTTAGTGTGTGCTTTTTTTAAATAATGAATGGCCAGTGAGTTGAAAAGACATAGTGCTAAAAAAGGGTGTAGAAGTGACGCTCTCATAATGAACGATTAAGGACAGCATCGGTGATGGGGTGTGGCCAGAGCAAAATAAACCTTTACCCGAGAAGAAACAAAAATGGCGGAAAAGGAAACAGTGCCAAAAAGTCAGGTGAGGGACATAATTAATTCTGAAAACTTTTTAACGGCACCGTTAAGTTGTAGAAATCCGAAACAACCAACTAGGATTAGGATAATATAATAAAACGACCCAAGTTTCTATGGAGTTGATCGAAATTTTCGAGTTATATACAATATGTCGGATTTTACTCGCAAACTTCTAAAGCCAAACTGCGAAGCCAACTATATAGGTACTTCTGCCGTAATATTTGAACGTTTATTTGGTAGAGGGAGACACTTGATTCTAACGAAAATTAGCTCTTTAAAGCTTAGTAAGTCACAAATGGTTTACTTAATTCAAAAAACAGCGTTCTCACACCCTGACGTTTTTGAAAGACCTATCCAATAATGCCTTATACTATGGGGAAGATAAAAAAAAATCATCCCCACTTTACATATAGGGGTGGTACCATAAAAAAATATTTTTCGATATTTTACTTTACCACTTTGTCGGCGGAATTAACTCATATTCTTAATGAGAAATGGTCAAAAAACCACCCTGTTCCCGGTATAATAATGTAGTCATACCAAATTACAACTTTCTAGTACTAATAGTTTTTGAGCTAAACTGAGGACGGACGAACTGACGTACATGGCGAAACTATTATGGTTTCCTGTTTACTACGGAACACTAAAAAGATAATTTTCTTATTATAAGTATTTGATCAATTTCGCATTCATATTTTAACTAGAAAATATACTTAATGAAAAATGTACTATTAAATTAATAAATCCACCTTGTCCCTGGCACTCTGAGATGGGATTCCCATCCTATGACTTTTCACAGTCGATCGGATTACAAAAGGCAAAGGGGATTTTCTAAGCATTTTTTCACTATGGATAATTTTCTTAATATACGTGAAATATGTATGAAGCTCAGATTCATAAGTAGCACGGTAGTTTATTTCACATGTTTAATTCCGCTCTGTAAAGTTCTGTATCTGTACCTGCCTGAAGTAAATTTAGGAGACGCTCATATTCTACTCAACCTTCGCTGTCTGTCTATCACAGAGCTGTACGTTTTGAAAACTACCTTTTTTTAATAAACGGGATGGTTTTTAAGTCAGCCATTCTCATACTCGTCGTGACGTAAGAAGGGTATAATATGATATTCATTTTAGACCTATCCACTGTTGTAATAAAATTGATTTTAAATTATGCTATCATGTTACCTTTATGGCTTTCTAATATACTTTCATTAATAATAAATCCTCTTTGTCCTTTTTCTACCTCAGTCATTATGAAAGGATTTATTTTACCACATAGAAAACCCTTTCAGCAGAGTTTCTTAGTTTTTTATTTACCGTAGATTATTCTTATATTACATGTAATAGAGCCTACGATATTGAAAACATTATATCGAGTAACTTCCCCGTAATTTACCAAGCCTAGGATATAGATATTTATTTACTTATATCGGAAAACTTTATAAGATTTCTTATCTAGAATGTATTATGCCTCTAACTTTCCATATTAATCGAATCCATATATTATTGACAGTTATGTTTCTATTTTGTTATTTATTCTGGTATTTCTTGTATGTTTTTATATCTTTTTTTTCGCTCCGTTCTCTTTGTCGAGTTCATGAAATATTTACATTGTATATGAGTATTACATATTATGAATATTGACTGTTATCTTTTTGGTGTTTGATCAAATATCATAACTATAATAGGTGTGTATTAAGTAGTGCCGCCATGTCTCCCTTGCGTTTTTATTTCACTTCGAATGTAGGTCATGCCTTTTTTATACACAAATCGATAAAACGAGTTTTTATTCGACATCAGGAAGGCTATCCCTCTTTTGTATGATTATTTGTTTTAAGCATGAATATTGTTATATTAGTAGTTTGTTAAAGATTACGGAAATAGGTTCACTGGTAATTGTAGGTAATTGGTAAATTCTAGAGTAAAGGGACGTAATCATGATCTGTCTCATGAAACAAAGAGAGACAAATTGTGTTTTTCAATTAGTTACTAACGCTGGTAGCCTTCTGATTTCTTTAATCTAATACGAGGTTAATACAGTAGAAATATTTATTCCTATAAGGTAGCAAGAAGCTACGTTATAATATTTATTCCCAATAGGTAGCAGATTCCTTATGCTAATTTTCTTTAACTTAGAACAAAGCATGGATTAACAATAAATCGCATAATATTAAGAAGCTGGTCGACAAAAAAAAACACCTTTTGTGTGTAACATGAAAACTTTTATCTAGATATGTTAAGGACAAGGATAAGGATAATAAAAATAAATAATGTAGTGGTTCTGGTACAGGTAGTTCCTCACTGTGAGGGATCGATCTTTTAGCAGATGGCACGTCAGGATACTTAATTTTACTTCTTGTTTTAATTGTAATACCTTTTGTATCAGAAATACAAAAATAACAATCAAATGAGTGATTTCTTGGTTCTGTCCAAATAACAGAGATTGCAAAAGGCATAGATCGAGATCTTCTCGCCCATCCAGTAAGATGACCCACAGATGTTACACAGCAGATGTGTGGAACCCACGCTTTGTCTTGCTGTCTGACTGCAAAGCCAAAATACTCTTCATATAACTTAGGTACTAATGGTGTCAAATTCCTTTGCTGAGTTTTAATAGTAATGTTACCACAAATGTAACAAGATCTGTCAGGATCATTTTTACACTTTCTTGACATTGTTTAAGAATCACTTAACTCAACAAAATAAAACAAACTCTATACTTTCGAAATAAATAAAATTTCTGCATTCAAACGTGGAACAAATATGATTTATATTCAATTTCACGGGTAGTAGCTGTAACACAAAAACTGAAGGAATTAAAATAAATATAGTGATAAAATGAGGGTAGGTAGGTAATTCAAAAATAGTAAGTACTATTTTTGTCATTGGCGGAACGCATTTTAACCTTTAATAATCCCCAAATATTTAGGTGTCAGATTTGAGCGAGTCCTAAGGGCATTACTCTTTGCAATGATATCAATTTTGGATAATACTAAGTACAATCTTGACATAAATTTACTCCGAAGTTTTTGTTATTCATCTTAGCGATGTTTTTGTTATTCATCTTAGCGATGAATAACAAAAACTTCGGAGTTATTATAAAACTATTGTCACTGCGACCTCAAAGATCTATTTTGTCTTGCCGCTAAAATTATAATACTCAGTGGGATGACCACAGAGAAGGTCAAAGGAATCTCCACTAAAAAACTCTAGGCATGTCGAGTAAGAGTAATTACTCGGAACCCTAGCGTAGTAGCCGCGTCAACAATTTTAAAACTCTTTTTGCCTGGTAGCCTTTAAAGAGTTTATGATTTTTAAGTTTTTAGTTTAGTTTAGTTTTTAGTTATTATGCTACGTTTCTATTTAAGACATTTCTTGTTAAATTTAAGAAAAAAAAGTTATCTAATATTTGTCTATTGTCTGATTGAATGACGAAATAGAATTTCTTTCTTTTGTACCCAGTCACCATCTCTATCTTCTACGGTGACTCTAAATCACTTACCGGGAAACCCATGCTCGTTATAGGACTGCAGTTGTCCTTGTGAACAATAACTCCATAAGGCAAAGAAGCCTTCCCTAGGTGCAACTAAGACCTATAGCTGTAATGTCACGGAAATTATTATTAAATCTTTTTATGGCTTATCATACGTTACGTTGTTAGATTCTAAATAATCTCCGCACATTACTGATGTTGCCAGTAACGTATTTTTATTAATGGCTCTTATTTATCCAGTAGGGTGTGAACAATACTTTAGGTAAGACAAGATTACGTAAGTCATTTGGCGCGATACGTTGGCGTCTTAGTCGCGGGTTGATAAATGACGAAATAAAATACGCTTATCGCAGTATCTTGCTCAAACTAATCTTATAGATATGCACCAAAAACTCGCAGGATGAACGTCAAGAATAAAATTCGCCGGGCTTAGAATTAATGTTCCTTGAACAACAGGTGACACTTGTGTAATGTTTTAAGAAAATAATTAGTTAAATTCACCAATACATTGATCGTTTTATTTCTCATTATCTATAAATATAAACGGCAAATCTGACTGACTTATATATACTGACTGACGTACTGTATCTAGTAACTTGAAATTTGGTACTGATGATATAAGTAAGCACTAAGAAAGGAGTTTTAGAAATTGAACCCCTAAGGAGGTGAAATACGGGGTTGGAATTGTAGAAGTATGAGAAATAAAACACGCGGGAGAAGCCGTGGGCGGAGGGCTAGTTTCTTATATAACACTAGTAACATTTTACCAGATTACTTGATATGACTGAAAATAAAAAAGCTCAAGTGTGGCTTGGCAATGAATTGTATCCAGAAGAATGGTGTTGGAAATTAAGAGACGATTGTTTCGAGCGAATTCAAAGCTTCTTCCAGCCTGCTCCAGAAAAACAATACTATTTTTTGTAGCTGCAAGACGGATTGTTGTGAGAACTGTGACTGTCACATAGTGGGCTCATTTTGTTCGCCTATATCTATCAATTGAGTTGCTCCAATATTGAGTAAAATACGACAGGTGACAATACTTAGGATATCAATGAATATTAACAAACATAATAACATTTCATACAAGTCAAAATGTTCCACTTTGAACATTAGCAATAGTACCATTCTGTCAATCAATAATAGGATCTGTATACTGACCACACTTTTTCATCACACGAGATCATGGAGTATGCCTACAGGGGAAACATTAAAAAATGCTCCAAGTACATTACCTCATGGGTGGTGCATTTTTCAACTTTGAAATCTCAAGAAAATGGTGGTTCGTATGAAAAAAAAGTATTACAAAATTTTTCGTAGAGAATTGTATGATCGACAACTTTTGTCAAACCTATTTTTCTCTTAATACTTACGGTTCAGAGAAAATGGGAAATACCCGAATTTTTTACCTTTGACCTTGGATAATTTTTTTGCAGAAGTAAGATCGATGGGGATTTTTGGCACTTCATTAGTAATGGTTTATTAAATGTCTATACCAATTTTTAACTCTATGCG